GATGGATAATCAAAAATAACAAGTGTACACAACCGGACTACTTAAAATAGTTTAGGCACAATTGCTTAAAATATCACCTGTTATCCACCTCAGAGAACACATATGCTCTGCACATAACATTTTGCTGTGAGACTGTCCAAACCTACATATAAATAACAGTCTGTCTGTCTGTCTACCTACCTACATATAGATGGGGAGAGGCAGAAAAAGAAAGCATGAAGGTAAAACATAAGAAATATATTCTGCTCATCACTAAACAAATGTCAGAATGAATTGTGATGGAAGTATACATGTCAAGACAATAATATATGAACTGTGGAAGTGAAAGGATGCATTTCTGAAAGGGAAGAGCTATTTAGACAGTTCTCATTTATAGACATTTCCATCACCAAGGAAACCAATTTTCCCACCCGCTTTATATCTTGGAGAATGGCTGTCCCATTATGTCATGAAAAAGGCAATGCATATGAAGAATTTAAAACAATGACAGTAGTAGTAGTATTAGAAATAATTGGTAACTGTTTCAGAATGCCTCTTTTAATTTACCAACTTTTTTACTCCTTGCCTGTTTGCTACGTCTATGATGGAAAGAATCTGAAGAAGCCTATCTGACATTGTCAAAATATGAGAACATCTGCTACAGTAATACCTTGCTATACACCACACATGTTATATCCTCTTTTGTTGCTAATGGTCTCTTGATGCTTCCATTTTAAACTCCTACTTTTTGGCCTCTAGGACAGATTTTCTTTTTATAAAAAAATGATTTTCAAAGTTTAAAATCACTTTATACGGAAATTTTAAAAAGTTACTAAACTATTGCTCTGTTTTAAAAAAATAACCACACTGGTATGTACATCTCTTTTAGGGAATAGCTTTTTCCATAGTTTTTTCAGCAATAGGAATTTTTTAGCATACATGTCTGATTATTTCCCCCTGTATTTTAAGAAAAGGAACATCATTGTTTTGCTTGGTGATTTGTTCGGCCTATTGTCAACAAATATGAATTAACATTTTGAGGTATAAACATGTAGGAATGGGACTTTTGTTTCAAAATGAAAGGAGCGGCTTTCACTTTCGGGTTCTTTCATGGGTTTCTGAAAGAAAGCCTCTTAAACCTGGAGGCTTCATTTAAATGAAGCAAGGGAACACAAATATTTCTCTTTCATTAAATTTTTCCTTCAACTCAAACTGCCTGGGAAATTTTCTTTGCCTTGCCATCACCACTGCGCATCTCTTTATCCTCCTGTCAGTCATGCTTTCTCCTCCTGTTTCCTTGCCTCTGCTGCCACTGCCACCACATGAGGGGGAGATGAAACAAAATGATTGAAAGAAGTCCCCCCCCCTTTCATGGTAAATGAAAGAAGCAGTGTAGGAAGTTTCAGTTGAAAGTTTCAGTTGAAAGAAACTGAGCTAAAATGGAAATGGGAAATGTAGTTTCTGCCACACACATCCCAACAAACATGACATCTTAAATCTGTACACAGCAGCCAATATTACAGCAAAATACTGACCATTCTATTCAACACATATTTTAGATCAGAAATGTATTTTTATCCATTTTGTTTATAGTATCTACACTATTGTTACCAGTAGCTTCAAAGTAGGATGGATGGGAACTTTAGCCTCTGAAATACAGTGGTGCCTCGCTTAACGAGCACACCGTTTAATGACAAATCCGCATAGCGACATGTTTTTTGTGATCGCTAATGCGATTGCATTGCGATGTTTAGAAAACAGCTGATCGGCGGTTCCAGAATGGCCGCCAGGTGCAGAAAATGGCCGCCCGCAGCATTATTGCGCCCTGCCCTCGTTTACCGGGCAGCAAAAATGGCGGCCGGATGGGGGAATCTTCACTTACCGGTGAGTTTTTCTCCAATAGGAACGCATTAAATGGAGTTTAATGCGTTCCTATGGTCCCCCCCATATAGCAACGAATCTGGATACCGACGTTAATCCTGGAATGGATTAACGTCGCTATGCGGGGCACCACTGTCATCAGATTTCTCACAATTTCTGAAAAATGTCAGCAGGAAATAATATTTGCTCCTTATGATGAATGAGAAATAAAACTACAAGTTTGTATTTTATTATTATGGTATACTAGCTACACATTCTGCATAATGTACATAACAATCTTATAAAAAAGAAGACATGGCTCACTAGAAAAGACAATAATGCCAGCAAAAGTTGAAAGTAGCAGGAAAAGGAGAAGATTGAAAATGCATTTTTTCCTTATCTAATTTATTTTCCAGTTGGGTATGACTAACATTTAAAAAATCTGTATGTGCCCATACTTAAATACTTTTATGTTTTCATATTAATTATGGATGAAATAAGATACAGTTATTTCAGTGCCAAGTATGCTTTAAAATGCCTCCCATGATCAAACTATTCATAATAAAAAGCAAATACAAACCTGAACCTACTGAATTAATGCTACTCCCATTATTGTTGATTACTGAAACTCCACAGATTAAATTTTCTTGCTCCAGCCTTTTTTTATACACAGTACAATTCATTTTATTCATAAACATATTATTTATTCAATGTACTGTACATCCCAACCTTCCACTAAAATGGTACTCAACAAATCTAATAAAATTCAGAGGTAGTATTATACCTAAAACATAAAAACACATCAATTGAAGGCATCAATTAAGGAGACATCCATTTAAAACTCTTTTTATATAGGAATGAACAGGATCTACTGGGCATTATTCATGATTCCTATAGTTTTAATTAAAAATGTTTCACATGCTATTCATTTTTTTATGATTCCTTCTTAATCTCCGCGTACCTATGGGGAAATGATACATGAAAAGATAGACCTGAAATGTCACCCTCCTAACGAAGCTTCTGTTCAAATGTCAAATGATTTCATTTGAGATCTGTGACAAAGAAACAATCTAAGCTTTGCTACAAGTTTGTATTCTTTTCTTCCCCCCTATTTCAGAATAATGATTCCCCAGGAAGTGGAAACATTCATTTTTGTACAAGCATTAAACGGTTGTGACCTTATCTCTAAAAAGACCGTAATCATTTATGGAAAACATTCAGCCAAATTGGGTACTGCCTGGAAAGTGATGTCTTCCAGGTGTTGTTGCTGTTTTTTTTTTTTTTCCAAAATAAATTGGCTTCTTTCCCTTTTCATTTTAAAATCCAAAGAAAACTATTTGTCAAGTCATTATAATCTTCCATATTCTTTTGTGTCAAAGAGTCGCCTTGGTAGAACAAATAGACCAAAACAAAGACCCTTCAACTTCTTCAGAATGGATATCAACTGAGCAAATGACAGCTGAAGGGGTTTGTAGCTGTTTCCCAATTTTCCTATCTTCCAGCAGCTAATTGGCTCTGTGTGTATATATTATGCATGAATAGGCAAAGATGAAAATGACAGTACAAAAATTTTACCAGTTTAGTAAACCATTAGTGAGCCCCCAAATCCAATCTTCTTCATTCCTGCTCAAACTTTGGAACTGTCTTTCACAGGACCCAGACTCCTGTGGAACAAAGCACAGCTCAAAGCCGGAGTACATGTAACTTCTCCTTCTCCTTCAATTCTCATCGGGGAGATGAACAGCTAAGGAGGGAGGTTAGCAACCTCTGTTTTCTAAAACTCTGATGCTTTCAACAGAGGGATGAGGTGAGGTAGAGTGTAAAGCCAGTAGAAACTGTATCCGGGGGAAATCTCCTAGTCCCCCTCAAAATGAACCCAATTCTCTAAATCAGTTTATTTCTAACTATTTCTATTTATTCCTCTCAAAGGACAGTGGCTGTGTGTAGACAGGCAACTTGAAGGAGGTGATGGGTGATGATAATCAATGGTCTCATTTCCCCTTAGGTCTAGGCACATTCTAATCTGTGTAGGGTGCTAGCTTCTGCCAAATATTTACAAATCAATAATCAATTAGTTCATGGAACAATGGGATGAAAGTGGAACTGAAAAAAATGACAATACCAATTTTTTTTAGTCAAATAGGCAAAGGCAAGTCTCTTTGTACTCTTACTAGATGAGGCCCTGAAAATTAAGAATACATTTTCTTGTGCCATTTCCCTACATAGCCCTGCACACTGCTGCCTTAGTAATGATAGATGAGAATGGACATACAATGGCCAAATTCAAAATGCTATCACTAACTTAACCTCAACTTTTTAGAAAATGTTCACTGCTTACGGTGTCCTAAATTGATGTCTGCTATAAAGTCAAGACCATAATTCAGGACAAATTGCATTCTATCAGTCTTTTGCCATATGGCCACTTGTCCCACAAAGCTCTAAAAATGGGGGGGAAAAAACTTTCAGAAGCTGCTATGTACTGCAATACTTGATGTATGCAACCCTATGCTGGCTTGCAATTGTGTATTTCCCAGGAATTTCACCAAGCATGTGTAAAACTGGGAATAGCACGTGTAGAAAAGTTCAGAAGTAGTTTAAACAGGCATAACAACTGTGTGCCATCAATTCACTTGACTTATGGTGACCTTTTTCAGGGTTTCTTGGTCAAACATTTTCAGAGAGTGGTTAACCATTTATGGGAAAGCATTAAAATAATCTCAAACAGGCTCTTTTAGAAAGCTCTAGGAAACTGGAAAGCATATTCTGCCTACCCTTTGCCCATGCTCATCATTAACACAAAATTTGAAAACCAATTTTGTGGAAGAGGTCTGATCCTACAGTGAGCCTCACTAACTTGATGCATGCAATGTTTGGACACGTGGAAAACTCTACTTAGGTGTGGTCTATGAAAATCTACAGTTACAAATATTGAGTTATAATGCAAGTGTTGCAATTTGCAATGTTCCCAATATCCCATAAATTGAAGATCCGTTGAGACTGAAAAGATTTGCAGATACAAGATTATGTATGAAACATTCAAATATATCCCTGTCAAATGTAACAGAAATTAACATAATGACAGAAACTGGTCACATGATAAAAGTAGTCAAACAGTGCAATTACAAATATACCATCTGTAGAAAAGACAATTAGTTCCTTACCTAAGCACCTTGTCTCAGTTCCACTCCATAGTCCAGAGGAAAGACATTCTCTTACAGCTGAGCCCACCAACATAAATCCAGAGTCACAAGTAAAAATAGCAGTCGAACCGTATGTGATCTGAGTGCCAATCTTATTCCCATTTGGAGGTATGGGAAGTTCTCCGCATGAAATAACTTTAAAATATAAAAGAAAACATTCACAAAAACATTCATTATTCATTTTTCAGTCATGGGAATCAAAATGGTAGATGACCTAAGAGAGGTATACAGTTAGATCTGCCTGCATAATTCATTTAACAGTCCAAAGTATATGACATTGCAATAATTTTCGTAAGAATGGCAGAAAATGTTGAAATCAAATGCATGGAAGAATTAATAAGCAACCATAATGGTTATTTTCTCCCCAAGTTAAATCTCAATCCTTCCTTACTAATATGTATGAGCTTGTCCCTGAAAATTGAACAGAGACCGCAACTGGTGAATGATAAGTGATGTATGTGGCAGTCAGCAGGAATATGGGTTGTTTTAATGACAGATTCCACAAGTATTAGATGATGCTAGACAGCCTCCTAGAGATACTACTGTGGAAGAAAACATATGTGTAAGACCCGGTCATTTATGTGAGATCCCTGGATCATGGGAAACACAGTGGATGTGCTCTTTAAAGTCACCAAATATGGGGAAATTCTTGACACTCAGGACTGCAACAGAATAGTGAGTTGACAAGGAGAATGGATGAACCAGAAGGCAACATTATCAAGAACGAAGACCTAAGAAATGAACATATTTTGATAGGATGAACAAAATACTCACTTTGGCAGTATGGTCTCTCATTTCTCCAACTCCAAGTGCCATTAGCAAGACATTCAATGGATTCTGGTCCCAATCCATGATAGCCAGGATCACAGCTGAAGACAACTTTTGTTTTGTACTCGTAGTGAGAGCCATTCACTATCCGCCATCTGCCATGCTCCAAGGTGAACAGATTGATGCTTGGACATGTAACAACTTGAGAGTGGGGAAGGGAAGAAAATTAGAAAGTCATTGTTATAGCTTAATAAAGGGAAAAAGATATTCTAATCAGAATGAGTTCACATGTTGGGGATATTAAATGACTGGAGTTCAATCTTTGAAGAGTTCCACAGTAATCCACAAGAGTTACTTGGAATTATGGAATTTTAACACTGAAAAATAGGTTCAGTGTAAGAATAATGTATTTCACTTCTTTTCTTTGGTTTTAGACAGTGATTATCCAAATTCATTTTACTGCTCAAAAATAATTACTTAAGATTGTGTATCGTGGTTTAAGACTGCTCTGCTTATTTAGCTACAGATATAATCCTTCCATAAGAATGTTGGGTCTGTCTGGATCGTAGGTATTTTTATCACACTTCTTGGTACCACCATCTTCCTCTTACAAAGCAGAAATCCCTGCTTTAAGCCCACGCATAATGTTCACACAAGTGAAATGCTAGTATTTGAGAGTACCAACAATTATCCCTTGCTTCGGAGTATGATCATGTTCTTATGGTCTGCAAGAGTCCTTCTGGTTTGTGGTAAAAAAGCAACAGCAGGCACTCACACAATGGAGATGATAGTACAATCATACTCATGTTTTACTTTTATACAGTAATGCTTAAATCCTGTTAAATTGTATCTCACACTGAAATTAATAACAAGGCTCTGCAAACAGTGAGAACGGAAATTAACCAATGCCCATGGTTAAAGTCGAGTGGGGGAGGGAAGAGGTCTTTGGTCCAGTTTAAATCTCATGTGTCAAGGAGAGATATTTTAGACCCTCAAAGTAAGATTTGTTGAAGATTTCAAAGACCTTCAAAGTAAAAAAATGTAAAACAAAACACACGCAGCTCTAGGTTTTATCTACTGGCCATGTACAATTTGTGACAAAAATTGTCTCAACAAATCTATTGGTTTCTCCCTATCGGAGTACTCATTTTCTTGCCTGCCAACCAAAATGTTGAGAAAGAGAAATGGTGTACTCAGGTTGTTAGGAAGTTGGCTGCATTCTAGGAAGGGAAGAATACTGACATTCTCAAGAGTTTCAGACAACACAAAGCTAAACCTCAGTACACTGGAATTCCAATAGAGTTAAAATTATTCCTAAACTCAACAAGTGCAAGATGTTTTAGGGTTACTGCTGTTGTTGTTTATTCCTAGCATGTGGCAGTGAACTCAATTAATGTTAAAAGCATCCACCTCAATGTATATTAGTTTCTTAATTGCCATCGCAGTGATGCAGCAATTTGTAACGTACAATGGGATGCACTTGAACGGTTTCCAGCTTCTGGTGTTCATTTATGAATTCCTTTGTGTCGAATATAAGCTACATGATCCCCAAAGTTGTGCCAGTCCCTTTCACAGCTCTTAATTCCATTTTAATTTCCTAATATAGTCTGTCTTCTTTGTCACCATTATGCACTAGTTATCCAAAATGGGAAAAGTATGTTCAAATCCTTCTTGGTTATGGATTTATTGGGTGGTTTAAGGGTAACTCACAGGAGTGAAATCTTACACATGCTTATCAAGAAGAAATGTTGGAATGTTGGTTAAGGCTCCTAGGCAGGTTGGTATAAGAATGCAGTGGAAGGCAAAATATGAAATGTGATGACATACATCTGAGGACTGTTTTAAAGAAAATTGTTATGGGGTATTAAGTATCATACGCAAAAGAAATAAGCTATATCTGCCTAAGTAGCAGTCCAATGATAAACGTATTTACTTTTAGTGTTAATAATATGTACCATTAACATGCAAAGTGCAGAACAAAAGTTCCTCTTTTTTTTCGTTTATAAATGGAATTTTATTCCAAACAACTGTACTTAAAATCATGCATTTGGGTGACAAACAATTACTTCTGATTTCTTGTTACCAAAGCATTATAAGGCGTTTATTGTGGGGTATCTTGCTATGGAGGGCAACATGAATGCAGTACATAAAAGATAATACAGTCTAGCTTTCAATTTTGAAAACAGAGTTAGGATCTTTACCCTTTATCAGTCACTCTGCTTTCTACTAACCACACTATTCACATCTCTCTGTAGACCCAAAGCATGAGTTTATCTATCTGTTTCACCATCTGCCTTTTCAATTTGAAAAGCATTTCTAGATTATCCTTACCTACACAACGAGGTGTCTTGTTATGATTGCTCCATGTGCCGTCTGGCTGGCAGGTTGCAGTAATAAGTTCTTTGGATGATAGCCTATATCCATCATTGCAGAAATAGGTAACTCGAGTGCCCACCAAATAATCTGTAGTTAATATACCTCCATTCACTGGAGCTTTTGGAATTCCGCATGAGATAGCTGCAGATTGAAAAGAGATACACAGGTAGACAAATCATGAATGGAACAACAACAAAAGCATGTAGAAAGAATTATCAGCTTGATGCCATGGAGTGACGATTCTCATTTCTTGAGATTGCTAAGTGGCTTCAGCAAAGGGGCGACCGGCCAGCTGCTTTGGTTTGATCCCAGAACTGAACCAAAACAGAGTGATCTTATCCAAACCAAAACAGCAGTAGCCCTTGAGGGGGACCCAAAGATTGTGTGTGGGGGAGGGGCAGACATTGAAAAAGGTAGGCTGGTTCATAATGGCATGCATGCCATGTGGTTGCTGGGAAAAGGAGTGAACAAATACCCATCTGATCACAACCGTACCCTAACTTAGATTCCTGCACTGACCAGGGGATTGGACTCACTGGCCCCTTCTAACTGACTCTACAACTCTTGAGTATTCATTGCCCCTCTACAGTGTACACATCAAGAACATGTCACAGAGAATATAGTGGGATCCATGTGAATCTATGTGATCGATTCTTTTCTGTCTACAGGCCATGTCATGCACTTAGTGGTAAATAAATAGTCACAGAAGCAGTCACCCTCGTTACCAGGTTTTGGAAATTTTACTTCTCTGAACTACAGCTCTCAGTACCTCCCAGGCAGTGGCCACAGTCCATGCTATCTAGAAGATTCTGTAATTTGTACTGAAAAAGAGTCCCCCTTTCCAAGCTCTGCCTACTGGTGTAGAACAGAGAAAATTGGAGCTCAAAAAACTAAACTAAGGTGAGTTACACACTGTTCTCTGACACTGCCCTTTGCTCGTTGTTTGCTTTGTCTTAATAAAGTGATTGTGCCCTTTCTTTTATCCTACAACCATGTCACATTCTATTTCACCCCTAGTTACCGCAGCAAACAAATATTTGCCAGATATTGTTTCATGCTAGATATTTTCTTATAAAGGTTCTCCATGTCAAAAGTGCTATTCTTTTGAGAGGAAATATGAACTACTCTAGCAGACTACAAGGAACAGTGTAAATCGATGACTGAGTCAGTATATCTTATGCATTCCTCCTCCACGATGTAAATCTTTTGAGTTAGCTGTAAAAATAGTGGGTTTTGTGTCTGTTGGTGTCTGTTTGTTAAAGATATTTTGTTTAAAATACACTATCTGGTAAATACTCATTGACAACCCTAGCAAGTTTCTTGGCTGAGCAGGAATTTGAACCCAGGTCTTCCAAGTTCAATACCGTACCATATTAACTCTTCCCTATATTCTGAAAAACCAATCTGTTAAACAGTGCATATTTGAAAAGAGCACCTAGAAGAATGTGTGCATTTTAAAAAGTAGATACACTTTAGTCAATAGGAGGAGATGGTGCAGAAAAATGCAACATGGCTTGGAAAAATGAACATACTGTACACTGTACGAACAGGACAGAGAAGAAGGGCAGTCTGTTTTCAGTGGCTCCAAGATGAAGCTGTGACTGTTCCACATCAAGGAAGAATGTATTGCTGCAGGGGATAGGACAGTCTTCACATCGCATTAATAGATGCTGAAACAACTTACAGCTCAACTCCCACAAGTTCTGAAATACAGCTACGTAGCCTAGTAGAGTATCTGCTATGATACCCTGCCCATGGAATCACCCCTGCATCCATCATACTATAATACAAGGCCAATGATATGCGTTTAGGTGGGCCACCTTAGTGCAGGCCTAGTTCAAAGCACACACCCCCAAAAAAATCAAGAATGAAATAAAGTTTTCAGATATACAAATAATGGGAAACATTTTTCCAGCTTTTATGATAATATGTTAGACATGGGCTGTTTGTATTCGTATCCCTGGGGAACACAAATAGAAATACTGGCACCACAGGTACCATGAGGGCCCATTCCTCCCCCCGTCCCCCGAACCAGTCAGTCCACTCATCAGTTGCCACGCTGAGCTGGGGTCCTTAGTTATTGTCACTGTGCCAATTCAGGAAGGAACCAGGTAGGTGCTTCCCCACCTCCCTGTACTATCTCATCAGCTGAGCAAGGATACTCCACATCCCACACCCTTGCCGGAGTGGTCCACTGTGCAGGGATGATAGAAAAATCCTCCCTGGATTGGCACAACAATGATGATGATGGAACTGAGCACTGTGCAAGGACTAGTGACTGGACTGGCTGGTTCTGGGGGGAGGCAATAGGTCTATGTGACACCTATGGTGTTGCTATTCATATCCTCAAGGGTATGAATATAAATAGGTAAAGGTAAAGGTTCCCCTTGACGATTTGTCCACTTGTGTTTGACTCTAGGCAGCGGTGCTCATCCCTGTTTCCAAGCCCTTGTTTAATCATGGTATCTCGCCTGCCAGGTAAGTATAGCTTTTCCCAGCCTTTAAATATCAATGGAAATTAAGCCACTACTGAGATATGGCTCTTTGAGGTGAATTTTTATTTCAAAATAGACAAAGAAAATCTCTATTTTAAAACTCTGGTGTTTTAGATCAAAGGTTCATTCCCTAAAAACTACTCTCACGAGAAATCAGTATTTAAGAAATTTCATCCTCACATCTCTCCAAAGGTTAGACAGGAGAAATACATGGGCTTGTATTTAAGCAGGAAAAAACATGGATAGCATTTCTCTACTAGACGTTAGCACTCAGATGTGTCTGAGATGCTAGTATGAACAGCAAACCCATTTTAATAATTTTTCCTAGTTCACGTGCCAAAATAGCAAGTGCATTTGATGTCAAGAAAGATTTATCATCAACCAACCAACCAACCAACCAACCAACCAACCAACCAACCAACCAATTCACCAAATCATTTTGAATCAAGCTTCATGGTTAAAAGTAATTAAGAATGTGACTGCCTGTTTCCTAGCTTACTGTAAAATGCACTGGATGCTCAAAGTACTACGGAGATAGGAATGCGATAAAAATGAATAAAGAAATGTATCTGAAAAAAAAATCAGTAATGTGTATGCATTGTTCTAAGAGTTATTTATTATGAGCGTGTACTACTGTCACTACTATTGTTACTGCTATTGATACTTTGGAAGATATGGGGCAGTGTGGCAAAGTGGCTAGAACAAGGATCCCTGATCATCACACTCAAGAACCAAAGATATACGATTTCTATAGCCAGTCCATTTAGGAAACAAAGTGCTGCCTTTTGCTCTACTTGTATGCTAAAACAGATGTGGATAGTTGGACTAGAGCCCCAATATGGAAATCCAGATTTATAATCACCATGCTTACCTTGACAGGCTGGAACAGGAACATCCCATGCATGATATCCATGGGGAGATTTCCTACACACAGCTGTGCTTTTTCCAATGAGCCGGAATCCTCGGTCACAAGCCCAGCGAACCACACTGTTGAGCTGTCCACCCGTCTGACTAACAATGAATCCATGAGGAGGAGACTCCGGAGTGCTGCAGTAATGGGCTTTGAAAACAAAGCAAACAACATTGCATGAGGATATAAATTGAATGGATAAAGAAACAGACAAACAATGTAACACTAAGTAAGTGGGATTGTTCCATTCAGTGGCTTGACCTGAGCTATAGCAGTGGTGGAGAAAGCTTCAAACAAAGAAGAAATAACTTGAGTTAATCCTATCACTGATATAGCATTAGCTCACTGAACATTACTGTAAAGGGATGCAAAGGCATTATACAGCTGGCACGGATAATGAAACGGCCTGGTTTTGACTTGCTGAAACTCATGGTGCAGTGGTTAAAATGCAGTACTACAACCCAAACTCTGCTCATAACCCAGGTTCAACCCCACGTAGCTCATATGGGGGTTCGCTCAGCCTTCCATCCATCTGAGGTTGGAAAATTGAGTTCTCAGCTTACTGGGGAAGCAATATGCAGCCTGTATAATTAAGTTGCATACTGGCCAGAGGGTATTTAAGTGCTATGGGGCAACACTGCGTATAAACAGCATGCTTTGTTTTGCTTTCCCTAATAGCAAAAGTTAACTAGGATCTTGTTATAGGCCAGCATTCTTATGGATGATTTTTTTTTCTAGTCATACTAACTTTTGCCTTCAGAAAAAGCAGGTCAAACAGAGGTCCATGGGAGATGCATGCTAAAAAATCAAGGAACTGTCCAGTTAAGTGGAATTCATAATATGGATAACACAGCACAAAATATCTTCCAGTGTCCCTGTACTTTATCTTTGGCAGTAACAGTCACCATTGAAAAAGCAATTATTTATTGCTGCAGCTAGGATCTAGATTATCATTTGTTTTTTTCCAAGCTCAAACATTGTTTGTGAACCTCATTTCTTCCCATCTGATGGAATTTGCATGTGTTAATTAAAAATGTAATCCACTTACACTGTGTCAACATCTAAGCTCAATGTTCTATCTGAAGATTTTCCAAACTGTAATTGATACTTGTTTTAACATGTATCCAGCATAATTAATATTGGTAGGAAGATCAAGAAAGATGACACAGGTCACTTGCTGGATAAAAGGAAAGAAACAGCAGCTGGCATGAGGTGTAGGGTAGGAACAGATCCAAAACTCGGAAGCTACAGAAAAGAATGCTGTTTAATTTTGTTCAATTTGAGGAAAAAGTCTGTTCGGGGTCTTGTAAGAAGTGGCAGAATGCAGCTCCATAAGCACCCTGTAGCTCCCCATATTTTTCTTAGAAACCCCCTTAATAATTATAATCTTTGAACTGCAGAGCTGGAAGAGGCCTTATGGATCATTGAATCCAGTCCTTGTCAAGGAGGCAGAGCAGAGAATCGAACTCCCAACCTCTGGCTCTATAGCCAGAGACCTCAGCCACTGAGCTATCCAGCAGTTTCAGACCCTCTATTTCCTGTGTTTGTTTTTCTTTTTCAAGCATAACCTGTTTTAAGCCCAAGATGGCCCAAGCACATCCTGAGTCTAGAACAGGTTAGGAAGGTAAAAAAGCATAAAGGAGCAGGAAATATGGGAAATCACCTCTTGGGAAGGACTTTTCAAGTCAAAAGAACACAACCTGGGGACACTGGAGGCATACTGTGACCTGCTGGGATCCTTAAAGTTGCATGTGTTACCCATGGAAATTTTGAAACATATCTAACCTGATCTACACCCACTTCTGCTTGCAATACTCTCATTTTCTTCCTTGCTCTAGGAAGATATTTGCTTATAATCCAGATTCTAATTTCCTATTTGGAGGAATCAGGGGATATCATTTTAACCATGGCTGAAATCCTGTCAGCATGACTGTGCCTGGAGAAGAGTGAAACTGGCCCCATTCACAGGGGGCAATTTCTGGTAATTAAAAACTTCCTACTTCTGTCTCATTGTTTTTCTGACACTAATCTGTTTCTTCATATGGAGTCCATGGGATGGAATGAGGAAGTCTTTTACTAGATTGCTTTAGCAGCTGCCAGAGATTTTTGGTGATTAAAGCCTTTAATCTTCCATCCAGCTTCCATACACTGGGTGAAATCCTGTTGCTTAATGTAATAACTAGAGTAAGGCCATTGAATCAGTGGGGGTTCCATGAGTCAACATTATAAATTCCTTTGATTCAGTGGACCTATTCTAGTGGTGACTTACTACGCCAAGGAACAGGATTTCAACAATTGAAAGAAATGACACAGGAATAAAAAAAGTCAGTGAACAGAAGTTGGGTGTTTGCCAGAAATTTACCCCTGTGGGTAGTGTCATAATCCTTCCACAGGTGTAAGTTATTCAACAGGGTTTCAGCCTCTGAATTCTATTTGTGTGTATGTATGTCCTTTCAAAAAATAATAATAATAATTGATGTGATTATTACAAGGAAATGCTTTCTGTTAATCTTTTATCTTCTGTTTCAAGAAACAGTCCTATTTGATATTGCCCAAGCTCTTTGGGAAATAAGGGTGTATGACTCATGAGACAAATGACTGCCTTAAAGTCTCGATGAGAAAGAAATGAGAAAGAAACTGAGTTCTTCACAAGCTTAAGTAATCTCCACTAAAATCACGCCCTGCACATTTTCACAAATCCTGGTACTTTAAGAAGGAGGCTTTAGTGGAGGACAAACATAATCCTCAATCAAAGAATGACACTCTGGCAGCCAGAGTCTGTACTCTGAGTATAATTCAGAAAAGCCATTGTGTAACACACAAATTTGGAGATAATGACATTGGAACGGTCTTCTAGCATATGAGCTACTATGAGCTTCTTTAGCTGTGGATGTCTTCAGGCTAGTGCAGTGGTTCCCAACCTCAGGTAACCCAGGTGTTCTTGGACTGCAATTCCCAGAAGCCTTCACCCTCAGCTGTGCTCACCAGGGTTTCTGGGAGGTGCAGTCCAAGAATACTTGGGTTACTCAAGATTGGGAACCACTGGGCTAGCAACCTGGGTTACTCAAGATTGGGAACCACTGAGCTAGCGGAACAAAATTTCTCTTGGCTAACCATATTTCACTACTAGAAAGTAAGCTAGTACCTTACTAGAAACAACTGTATTATAGCATACAACCCTCTCCTCCAATTTGCATGCACAATAAACAACTGTCAGTTATAGTAGATGGAAATTGATCTGACTTGTTTTTTGAAAGACAGAAAGTTTACGTACCTATATATCTGATCCTGAAACCTCTTTTGTTGGTGCCGTGGTCTGCTGACCAACGAAGAAACACTTCATGGCCACTGCTAGTTATATTAAGAGATGAGGAGTAATCTCCACTTAGGGAGATTAGCAATGGACTGTGACTATTTGGTCCTTGATCATAAAGAAAGAAGAATGAGGCAGAGAAAAAGGAGAAGAAGAAAACAGAAAGACTTAAATTAGAGATATATTGGAGTTTCCCCCCCTATACAAGCAGTAAGTAAGATAGCATTATAGTCATACTCTTTCTACATCAATAACATCTTAAATAATAAAATGCAATATAAGATGATGCTGTACATGAACAATCAGAGAGTAAACAGTGGCCTAAGACCTACTTCCAAAAGGATCAGCCTGTCTTAGAATAACATCTCAAGTTGAGAGATGCAAACCTGAGAGAGGTCTGGAGGGAAGAAGAAAAGAAGCCAGATATGGAATGAACTTCCCCCTGCAATCTCTTTCCCCCTTCACTTGCAATTGTTAAAAAGTAATTAAAAACTCGTTATTTGGGCAGGCGTTCCAAAATGTGATACCTGCGGAATCAGCTGAGCTTAGCTAGTCTACTTAATCAAGTCTGCTATTTTAAATGTTCTAAATGTTCCAAATGTTTTTATGCAAATATATGTTTATGTTTTTGACAGTACAGTGGTGCCTCGCATAGCGATCGCTTCATATAGCGATGAAAACGCTTTGTGATGGACTTTTTGCCATCGCAAGAATGATCACTTTGCGATGTCCCCTATGGAGAAATTTCGCTTTGCGATGATTGCAGGGAAGTGATCATCACAAAGCCCCCATTTTCGGCCAGCTGATCGGCGGTTCCAAAATGGCCACCGGGTAAACAAAATGGCCGCCTGCTGTTTTGCCTCGCTTTAGAGGCACTGAAAATGGCCGCCACAATGGAGGATTTTCGCATAAGGTTAGTTTTTAAGCCCATAGGAATGCATTAAACGCGTTTTAATGCGTTTCTATGGGCTTTTAAAAATCGCTTAGCGATGAAATCGCTTAGCAGCAATTTTTGCTGCACCGATTAACATCGCTAAATGAGGCACCACTGTATTGCTTATTTGTATTTTTTTTCCTTTTCTGTTTTGTTAAATTGTGTTTTAATTGTTTCTAAACGTTGTAAAAAATCCAGTGTGGCCTTCAGCCAGATGGGCGGTAGAAAAATGAAATAAGTAAATCAATCAAAAAATAAATCACCTTATGTGAGTTATAATGGCATAATGGAATGATGTCCTTTGCATTGGCAGATTGCCGCAGATAAAAAATGTCCACACTTCAGTTCATCATTACTTAAATGTCATTTCCTTGTGTGTTTTTCTGGTGGCTTTGCATGTGACCTGAAATTAAAGCTAAGATGCTTTAATCAGCAGCAATCTGCTGCTACAGGTGACATCTTTTCCATGTATGCTGTTGTAATTTATGGGAAAAGGAGCAGTAGATTGACACTGTTTACTCTGTGATTGCTGGATTATGGCATCATTTTAGATTGCATTTCATTAGTTAAAAGGGTGATGCCATATCCCTTGCTCCTGTGCAACTGATGCAAAAATATTTCAGGGAGTATGTACAACAAATATTACTTATTGAAAAGAATGTACACAGAACCATTGAGTATGTCATAATTACCATCGTACACCTCAAGTATATCAAATTCCTTTTCTGTCTGGAAGAATTCAAAATAAAGACTGATGTTGTAACCCTTTTCCACAGTAATGGTCCATGCGCACATTTGGAGATTTGGGTAGCTATCTGGATAGCCAGGACTCATGATCACTCCAGTGGAATCGAGACGTAATTCGTTTGCAGGACATAATACTGCAAAAAAGAGGAATTTTGGTATAAACATTGGATAACTGGAAAAACACAGAGTAGAATTCTTTATTTCTGGACATTCAAATGATGTGCATCAGTAATTTCATTTCAATAAGGACAACATATGAATAAATGTCAAGAAAATGGATGATCAAAATACAGAATGTAATTTTTGCATTTAATTTTCTCAGTTTGTATCTTTAGGAAACTATAAGGTACACTGGTATGCCCCTTTCATAGTATTTATTTATTTATTTATTAGATTTTTACCCCACCCCTCTAGAAAATGTCTACTCGGGGCAGCTTACATACATGTATAAAATCATAAACTAGATTTTTACCCCGCCCCTCTAGAAAATGTCTACCTGGGGTGGCTTACATAGATTACACATTAAATAATAACATAAAATACAATTACAATTATAATGATTAATTTAATATGTAAATGATTACGCATTAAATAATAACAGATGTCAAACTCTACATATGCCTAAAATACAACAAGCATAGCTAAAATCCTATTTATCATGAATCATGTACAGAATGGAACCCTTATGGACTGTCATATTTCTCTTTCACCAGTAAGAAGAATTGTACAGCAGAATTGGCCAAGTGTTGTAAGGTTATGGTCTCTACAACCCTGAAGCATGTAAGGAAAGTCCACCAACAGGCCTGATAAAGAAAGAGAGAGACCTACTTGTGTTCCCTTTGGGGTTATCAGTACCATAATTCAAAATTCAACCTTCATAAATATTTTAGTTAACAGATAATCTGTATGCCAGAAGGAATTAAGATCCTTAATTAATCCAGTTGTAAGTTGCACGCTTCAATTAGGAAAACTGTCTCATTCTTCCAGTTTCTTTCCATTTAATAGGAAGCTACATGAACAGGCACATTTAAAGGCTCCAGAATTGCAGAGGAGCTGGCAATGATGAATTGTGACCTACGCTGGCATGTAAATATAATTTAAAGGTTGCCCAAAGCTAACTAGGTAGCAGATCTTAACCAGCACATGTATCACGTGTGTGTTACATCTGTCTTTTTTGGCTATATCTGGACACTGCCCCTGTTATGAAGCAACAGTCAACAGGGAAAGACTGTGCTAGTTCTAGATTTAGAGCAGTGGTTTCAAACCTTGGGTCCTGAGATATTCTTCGATTAAAATTCCCAGAAGCCTTCACCACAAGCTGTGCTGGCCAGGATTTCTGGGAGTTTCAGTCCAAGAACATTTGGGAACTGAAGGTTGGGAACCACTGCTTTAGAGCCTTAGATGTCCGGAGAAGCTGAAGTGATAAACATATGTCTTTGTTTTCTTTAATTGTCGTTTTATGAGATTTACAAACTGAAGGACTTGTACATTCATCTACATGTTGAAAAAAAACTTGATGAATTCAAATAAGAACACAAAACTATTCATCTACATCTGTATCGGCCAGGACAATCAGTTTTATTTCTCTTCTTACCAAAGTGTTACCATCATTTCTGTGCAAATCTGGGCATCAACAAAATCTATATGTGTTGCTGTTGTTATATGCTGTCATTTCAGAACCAAATTATAGCAACCTTAATAGGGCTTTTGAGTGAGAGTAAATATCTCCATTTCAGAACCAAATTATAGCAACCTTAAGTGGGCTTTTGAGTGAGAGTAAATATCTCATAAGTGACATATTTAAAGAGTAGCGAGATATTTAAAGAGTAGCTTTACCAGTTCTACTCCACCAGTGAGTCTCCATCCTCAGTGGGGATTACAACCCCAGTCTCCAAAGTTCTAATTCATCACTCTGTGCACTACACCATACTAGGTATCCCATTTGTATGAATAGGAAATGGCTCATAGTTAAGAATTCATTGTTCTACCCCTAATTAATTTACTTTTATCTTGTTTCTGCTTCTTGGATATGCCAATTAACATTTGTTTGGGGGGAAAAATAACTATTGGCTCAGAAGCAGTGTCTCCTTGCTATCAAAGTAACATGGCCTGCAGTCATTTTAAACAGTGCAAAAGTTCTTTTAGAAAAGTTTGATCAGTCATAGTTGTTTCATGGGTGTTGACTGATTAGTTGGCCAGCTGTTTTTGCTGAACATTTAGTTCATATTTTTTAAGAAAAGAAACACATCAAAAATGCTAACAGAACTAATATACTATGTAATTGTCCACAGAAGGCTAGTAAATGACTGGTCACTGATTGATTTTGTTTTTGGTTGAGAGAGGCTGAGAGCAGGAATGTGTTCAGTATTTGAAAATTTTCTCATTCTTGGCACTTTTAGAAGTATTAACTTATTGAGACTTTCTGCTGAATTTTTTCCTGCAGTAGCAAAGCTTCCCAATTGCTTGTCCTTTTTCATATGTCTATTTTTTTTTTTGGTGGTTCTTCCGTACAGAAACTATCAAATTCTATAATGTCCTCTCCATTGCATCCTGTCCAGGAAAGATCTTTAATAAACAGACAGTCATCCTGCCTAGCTTTACATGATGGCCAAAACCCAGTTGCTTAGAGTAATTGCACTAGAGTAAGCTCACTGAATCAATGAGGCAATTCCTCTGTAAGTTCCATTGATTCAAATGAGCCATCTCTGACTGTTATTTAATTTAACATAATAAGTTGCAGTTAGACTAGGCCCATTTGAATCAACAGAGCATATGGAGGCATTGACACACTAAATCCCCATTGATTCAATAGGCCTACTCTAGTGCAATTTGCTATGCTAAGCAACAGGATTTAGGTCGATAGTTCTAAATGTTGTGATGTCCACAAAGAAAATTATTTTCAATGTTGGATATCAGCATTATATGTAAGCAATCCAGGCTCTGAAAACATATCACAAAATGTAAATAGGTATCAATAAGTAAATATATTAAAAAATTGGAACAAGAAACCTTGACAAGCAGGAGGTGCTCCATCCATCTGTAGCCTCTCTCCTAGTCTACATGTCAGAATCTCATTACCAACTAATGTAAAGCCTGGTAGACACTGGTACCTTATTATGTCCCCTATTTGACAAAGAAGAAGAAGAAGAAGGTTGAAGTTAAACAACAATTAATTGGGACTTCTGGCATTTGACAGTAGCATTGATTAATGAAGTACCTTTCGCACGATATATAATGTGCAAATAACCACTGGCGCAAATAGCTCTGATTAGACTGAAGAAATGTTGTGGCAAATGAGCAACCACATTTATCATTTCTTGCCAGCTATACTATTAGTGTGACTCACATATTTTGGATGCTTGTTACTTTGCAGAGCATGGCAGCAGGCTGGAGTCTGAAAACTCCATATTTTGTACTAGTAATTGAAGTAATTTAAATGGAAGCTGCCAAGTAGCCTTATATCTATGTCATGACCTTTTCATCACATCATACCTATATGATGGTTCGTAGGTGGCTTAACGAAATTGAAACCGCAGGCAAGATTCCAAAACAAGCTTTAAAATATGTCTTATGTTTTTACCTCCATAAATCCTATGCACAATAGATCCTGAAATGAATCCATCACAGCAAATTGCTCATGAGAATGGCTCAAAACGAACTTCTGCAATATTCTGTTTCTCACGTATTTGAAACATTGCTCTATCTCACACCAGCTTCTGAAAGCACCTAATGCTAGACAGCTATATATGAAAGAGTGGCAGAAGTGTGCACATGCAGCTGGGTGATTTTTCCCCAAAGTTTTTACAGCAGGTGATCATTTGGCTGAATAAGCAAACCGGTTTGGAAGGAAAAATGGTCTTGCTCAGTCAGCCAGGTAATTAGCTTCAATAAAGCCTTTCAAATTGCCTCTGGCTGCATGCACATGTCTCCCCCATCTGCACATACTGCTGTCTAGGAGTGCGGCCAAACCCTGTTGACCAGATGATGAGGGCCACAGAGTGCAGAAGGTTTTACAGCCATAGTCAAGCAAACTATCTCAGTGGGACCATACTGTCTTTCAGAATGTGCTATAAAGTGTCACTACACTTCTCATCTTGGATGTATTTAGGGTATGCAGTCTTTTGTTGGAGAAATAACAACCTTTTTGTTGTTTTCAATTACATCCGCTTTGAAAAGCTAAATTTATTGCAGCATGCATCACATTAAAAAATGGTTATTTCCCCCATCATCAAGATGAATTGAAATAATTAAAAAGGAAGACTCTGGCAAATGCACTATATTTGATCTGGTCTACCACGAATGGAAGGGCCAAGATCTAACTGTGCACATCTGCAGATGGAATAAGCTTGTTGGCAGTTCTAGGAAGAAGGGTTTCCTCCCCTCACCATGCTCCATGGGCCCTCAATTCTGTTATGTTACATGGTACAGAAGGCTGAAGTGGGGAAAATGAGGAGGCCTTTCTGCTGTGGTGCTGGATGAGAAAGGGAATCATCTCCTTCTCTTGAACATGTTGATGATATGTGCACATTCAATTACTATACATGGAGTGTTTTTCTTCAGAGTTCCATCCATTCCTCACAATCTTGAACTACCATTGATAATCTTAAGTGACATTGGGGACACAGTCTTTTTAGTCCCACTTAGATTAATTTGGTTTTATTTCTTCTCAAGTATCTAAGGGCTACTTACCCTTCTGTTCCTGAAATGACAAATCACAATGAGATGGGCCCTCTCTTTATCTCTTGTCTATTCTTTCCTCCTCCTTGCCCAGCCACTTCATTCCAACCTACTAGGCTGTCAGTTCTTTCCCAGTCATTGCAGACAACCATACCAGCATCAGCGGGCAGATTTTTCTCTTGCCATCATCATGTACAGTATCTGTTATTGATTTTCCAATGGAAGGATTCTTTTAACTTTTCATATATTTCTGCAAAGCTTGTGGATATCCAGAGTCTATTGATGCTGCCTCCTTATACCCATGAGCATGTGAAAAAATTGTACCAGTGTTTCACTGAACGGCCTTGTAACATTGCTGAAATTCATTTGCTTGGCATAGTGAGGAACAGAATAGGCCCACTAAATCAATAGGGATTTGGTGAATCAACTCTTCCTTTAAGTTCCATTGATCCAAACGGGTCTGTGCTCATTATGACATACTAGGCTAAAATAAGTCACAACTAGAATAGGCTCATTTGAATCAACTGGACTTAAGGGGCTGATTAATGTTGTCAAGCTAACACTCCACAGATGTACATACTTTTATTTGTATTTGTTTTAATTGAAATGCTAGGGTGGTTGATCAAAGTGGTTAAAGTAAGATTAAAAATTAAAGGAGGAGTTCACTTACCAAATCCAAGCTGATTTAATTAACCTACTCTAATGATTTGGACATGACTTAACAACTAAACAACAACTCTAATGTGACATACTACACTAAACAACAGGATTTCAGCTATTATATTTTTTACTGGTGCCAGTTTTAGGACCAAATTTCTCTGTTGTTTTATTAGTTACATTGACTCTGACTGAAAGTTCAGTATTCTCCCTTGAACCAAGTAGATATGTCCATATGAACTGCCATCATTAACAATGGAGATCATTCTAGATATCTAGAAAACAGCATAAGGATGAGGTACAGAAGAGATGGGTAACTTTCCAAAAAATAGCATAATATCCATTCACAGATCAGTTTCTTTTCGTCCCTGCAGCTGCTAGGAAGTAAGATACAGCACAGATACAACAGCTTGCAGTTGCCTGATTTTTAAATTAACCAGACACTAGATATTTTCCAAGTTTTACAGAATCTTGTTCAGTCAAATTTTAAGTTCCACTAATTTCAACTGATGTTTATGCATACTATGTGGTTTTCTTCTTGGGAAAATTGCGGAGATTGTTCACATTTGTACTTTACCTATTTCAAATTCATCATCTTCAGTAAGGATTTCAGCATTTAATTCCAGGGCAGTGTTGCCACTAAACTGACCAATTTGAGGAGAATTTTGGTCTGGCCCATCCCTAAAAAGGAACAATAACAAATGATACAATTAAATATATGTCTTCCATCTGCTTTACACAAGAGTCCAAGGCATACAAGGAATAGAGCCTGAGAGACAATTAAAAAGAGAGAGAGAGAGAGAGAGAGAGGTATGATTGGACTCAAGGCCCTTTCAAAATAATAGCACTCGGGACTGTATTGTCTTATGATACTTATACACCTCTCACTATAGTAGGCATGTAATGTATCTTGACAAACATCTTTATTCTGATGGCTACGATACCTTCTAACAAAAAAAGTGTCAATTGCTGTGAGATTTTTAGATCTTGTAAAAGAGTGAAAAAAATCTTCTGTTTTCAGTCAGCAGCAACATCACCAAAAGCATCATTTTGTGCAAAAGCCTTAAATTTTGCACAAGATTGTGTTTTATACAACAGCCATGATATTGTGAAAAAATTAACATTTTGTGCAATCTAACATTCTTCTTGTCATGGTTCCTCCCCCCAATGAAAAAACAAACAAACCTGAAATACATACAAAAGTTTCAGAATCTCAAACAATAGAGAGAAGACTTCTAAAATTTTCGTGCTTAGTTGTGAGAATGAAGTAAACAAAGATTTTAGATCCTTATGTTACATAATGCTATTGCCTGTTCTGAACTGGAAATCTCAGCCATCACAGGACAGTATCCTACATATGTTTGTGTAATTATTTGCACTTTCTTTGATCATGGGTGAGTTAGATCCCTAATGTTCTGCAATGAGACTGTACAGCAAGCATTGTGCCATTCTCAACGGAGTGTCGGGCTTTCAATAGAGATTTTAGATGAATGTTATATGAATACTATGTTATGTGCAATTCTATGTGAACATAATACATAAGTAACAAAAATGTTTAATGAGACCTTGGCCATAAACAGTACAACATTGTGAATGTTTACTCAGAGGTGAAGTCTACTGAGTTCAAGGCGGCCTAATTTTTAGGATGTTTAGAACTATAGCCTGAAATTAGTAGGACTCTGGTACAGTGGATTTGAAAGGAGCTAGAGAGCTTACATTGCTCTCATCAGGAAATCATGTGGAACAATGAATTCTCCTAAAGAGGAACTATATGAGTAAACTTCTTAGGTGAGTCATATATAAACACACACTAATCTCTATCCCTCCTCATAGCTTGGAAATTGCAAAGATAAACCACCTAACCCTCTACTCTATTTACCTTTGCTTATAAATCTCAATACATGAGGAAGAATCAGTCCCTTCTCTGTATCATGCTCACCCTGAAGTCCACACATGGGCAAATATGAGGATGAAGTAGCAAGTGAATAAATTCTCACTGTTCCAAGGATAGCATTTATAATATTTTAGATTACCTGTATTAGTATCCTTTCAAGTTAAAGGAAACCACCACAGGATAGATACATACTTCCTTTTCATATTTGTATAATTTCTGTCAAGTACGTTTTCCAGATATTTAATGTTCTGCTAATGATGTTTATGGAGTACTCAAACTCTCCCGCTCTGATGCAGGTGCAGTTCATTGCAGTACGATTCCTGGCATTTGGTCATAGCCGTAAGATTTGTGGTTATATTCAATACTGCAAGGCTGACATTTGAAGTAATATAAAAATTACAGACTATTTAAAATTATGAGGTCCTGAATGTTGTGCTTGTTTAATGAACTCAATAGTAGGCAAAACACCATTTAAAAAGAAAAGCTGACGTATCTCACTTTTTTCTATTCCTAGAAATTTCCTGCTCTTTATGTATTTTGTTTAAAAAAATAATAATGATGAAGCAGTAAATGAAGTGCTAATAAAATACTAGCTGCTTTTCAATGTATTCTTTATTTGCATCAAGGGGTTACTCTTTTCATATCTTTAACTCTTTGACTGAAACTATGAAAACCCAAGCAATCTATGGCTCAACGCTGTACAAAGCATTGATTCAAAACAAGAACTCATAACAGAAAACTATTGCATAAATGGTGGCTAAGGCTGGTGGTGAAAAATAGCTGCTGACCCTGTTGAGCTTGTCCATCATGTATCATGGCTCTTCTTCTATATCAGGATACTGGGTGACTGGCTCATAGTAGTGACTTAGTATGTTCTTTGGCTCAGTTGTCCAATTCTCTGTCCAACACTAACCATCATACCAGACTGACCCTGATTTACTCCTCCCACACAGTGCATTACTATAGTACCAACATGGTGAGCCTTACAACTAGTGGGCAGCACTACATATTGCACAGGCAAATTGCCAAAATCAGTTACACCTATGTGAGGATACATTTTCCTTGGGAACTATTCATTTTCTACCATCACAAGAAAGAGGAAATAAATGCTTTCTGTCCACGTTCTATATGGACTAAAATGGGCAAAATGGTATAAAATTGTTTCCTACCTCCGCCTACTTTTTTATAATAAAAAGTCCCATAGATTGTTAGACTGGAAAGACCAGACCTTCTCCATACAGAAGGTACTCTAGCACTCTGATCATTTTAGTTTCCCTTTGCCACATCTTTTCCCATTCTACAATATAATATGTATGATGGAATAACAAGAGCTGCAAATACTATATTATCACACCAGAGATGGGTGTAATTTTGACACACAGTTTTTTTTCCTTTCCCAATAATCTTTCCTTTCTTAATAACCCTAATAATAATAATTATCCCTTTCCTTATAATGTACAGTGGGAAGATTAATGGGTAGGTGAGATGAGCTGCCACTACTGCTTCTGAATACTATGTTATCCCTTAATGTAATAACCTACATTCCTAAAGCGAGTTGGCTTTTTCATCATGACCACAAACTGGGTCACTCTTTCCTGGAGCTGGCCATCACAATCCCCAAATCTTCCCCAGTTAGACACTGCCACTTCAAATGTCAACACTGACTTTTTTTTTACTCAGTGTACATCATTTTACACATGCTTTTTGTTACCACCTTTCGGGCATACATATGTACCATAAGGAAAACACCGTGCAAAAGACTGTTACCTGCTGTGCTAAAACTGGACATCCGTTTGCAATCAGATAATAGAATAGGAAAACAACAACAGATTCCAGTTTTCCTCACCTCTGCATCTCCCACCTAGGTGTACATTTCTCATATCTACCTATGAACTGTTTCTAGGAATGTCCAATAATCTGTGTGCTTAAATCTTTTGAGGCCCTGGGAAAACATACTGTATCTGTGTCTTGCACAGGGCCTCTACAAGCATTCTGAGTTCCTTGGAAATCATCAAATACTTCTTATTTTCCACACCCCATTTTCAGGCCACCACAAAAACCACACTGTATGTCCAGGGAAGGAATCAGTGAAGTAATGGCAGTGCAACTGCCTGTAAACTCAGGACACCAATTCTTGTATGGCAAAGGGACTGGAACAGAACGTCATCTGCTGCTATTACGGTAATTAAATGGCCCATCATCCTTGAACACTAGCACTATCTGCCAGAAAAAAAGGATGGCTGAATTAATTTCCATCATTCCCGATGGAAGGAGACACACATCACAGCATGAAGAATCTCTTCTGTCACTATCAGGAGAATGAATAAAGAACAAGAATGCACAAAGGAGACGTCCCTACCTAAGGAAACGTCACTGCTGTTTGTGTCAATATCATCTCTCAAAGTGGTATTTGTTTTTTCCTTTTTTAATATTTGCATACTTATCATTATAGCTTTAATATTGTCTTTTAATTATGTAAACTGCTTCTTTATACTCATTGTTCTTAGCTTTCAATATTGTCTTTCAATGATGCAAGTCACCATGGGTCCCTTTTAAAGAAAAAGGCTTTAAATAAACAAATACCTGACCACGTAGAACAAGGAAGATCTAGGTGAGGCCTACAATGATGCCTCTAGCATCTAATTCTTTTGGGAAAATATTGAACAAGGATATTTGACAATTGAATTTTTGACCACGGTATGATGTCAAGAGTTGGGAATCTGAATTCCCACTGTTCCTGGGACATGAGTGGCTGAGGGGTTTAATTGCCTTGACACCTGTGTGGCCTAGAGCAAGCTCCGTGATCATAGAGTGGCACCTGAACAAGGAACTAATAAATCTCCTTGTGCCTAGAAAATGCTGGGAGGGTCGCCACCAGTCTGAATCAACTTAATGGGAAATATTTCATTCTTATTTGACCAAGACCCCCACCATCCGCTTGATTTCTTGTAATGGCCCAAAATGAAAGACTTCATTTCTGACTCATCTTAGTCACTGTGATGCCAAAAAGAACTTTGAGCTGTGTACAGGGAAAGCTATTAGGAGTTTTCCAGTTTCTTTGAATTATTCTTAGAAAGAGCAATACCATTTTTCAGAGAAGCATCTAGTCACTACTCACAAAAGTAACCCACAATGTTCTTTAGCAACAACTGTTCTAAGAAGCAAATGTAAGCTGACACTTCCTTGAACATGTCTAAACATGTCCTTGGAATGGCCTACACATGCACAGCTAGAATAATCACTTATGACTATATTAGACACAGCTGTTTTTCTGATATTTTTCAACTTCTTATGCTCCATATCTTTTGTCTGGTTGCAAGTTGGGCTCCACATAAGGGCAAATCTATTTAGTCTATGTAAGGAGTTAGGTGTCAAAGATGGATGATTGGACTGCAGCTGGAATAGACAGCTGATCAGAATAAACCCAGGCTATTCTTGCTATATGAATTTCAGGTAAGAGATATTTCTGTCAGAGCAATGGTTCCCAACCCTTTTTGAGCCATAATGCTTTTTAATAATAGCCAGATAATCTATGACTCCCCCACCACATTTGAATAAAAATACATTTTTAACAGAGTAAAGTTATCCCTTCTCAGAAAATAGAGGATTCTTTTTCCTCCAAATGGCCTATATGTTAACTCTAATATCTGGATCCAAAAGGTCAAGGAAGAAAATTATTTAACAAGGGTACAACACATATAAAGTGACCCGTGCCCCCCAAAAACACTTTGCAACCCTCTCAGGGGTTGTCACCTCCAGGTTGGGAAACACTGTGTTAGAACTTCATAGAGGAAAACCATCAACAAACTCTTTCCCATAGCAGTAACGGCAAGACTGCGGTGACCAAGGGGCAAAGCTCAGTAAGAATAACTGAGGTAGATGGCCTGGTAAATTAACTGGTTAAAAGAGATGCACTAAATTGTTGTATCTTTCCTTTGTTGTCTCCATCTTCTCTTTAGTTTTAACTACTGGTGGGGTTTTTGACATGCAGTTTTCACAAGACTGGTAGTTTTTTTTCTTGCCTTCTATACTAACCTTCTCAATCTGTTTTCCTCTTAAGAACAAATCAGACTATAATTACTGAAATCACTGCTCACAACACAACATACTGATCAAGGTTTTGAAACACTGTTTTGTATTTTTGTTCTTCACTCTCTGACCACATAATGGTCTCTATCTAGAAGCTAACCATACTCAAGGGACAACAAAATCAGTATGATATGGAAATCACAATACCACTGATTTCAACAAAGTTTACAGGTGGTTTTTTCAGTTTTATTTACCACAGAAGCTCAGTTTATATAAACACTTGACAACTATTTTTGATTGACAGCTGAATGTGCAAATAAGTTCTATTTATCCATTTAATCATTCAGCTATGAGGATACATGAAAGCTTCATCTGTGATGATAAATCAGTAGCGGACCACTTGCAAATGCAAATTTCTTTTTAGTCATCAATAATAAAGTTAATCATATAAAACTGTAGGAAATTTCTAGTGAGAATTCTCTACAGACAGCTTAAAGAGATTCTGAAAACTTTGAATGCTGGGCAATCTTTGTACTCGACATATTTAAATATTTGCAGAGCACCAGATATCTGGGTAGTCCAAAAGCAAAAGAAATAAACAAATAAATTAATGAAATGGGTTTGGGAAGCAATTAGGTATCAGTGATATACTACATACTGCATTACTGCATCCAGGTTTTCACAACAATATGTCTGCAGTGAGGGCTAAATGGCTACTGCCAGATAAATATGCATAGGACTATACAACTGTTGTCAAATGTATTTGCCACAAACACAATGTGAAAAGGCCATTATAATAAGATTATTCTGAATAACATTATTTTCAGACTCAGAGCATGTCTTACTCTTCCTTAGCTACTAAACAAAATAAATATATACGAGATAACATTGTGTATAACAAACTGGAAACACAAGAATGTGTCAGAAGAGTAAGATACAACATGTAATAGTTTTATCACATGTTAGAAAATACATAAAATATTAATTTCTGCTTACCAAACTGTTATGAAATCATATATTGGTTCTGTTTGAAGGACAGTAAAATTGATATAAATTCCATTCCCTGGTGGTACTCTTACAAGCCAAAAACAGTCTTGGAAGTTTGGGTATTCATCAGGATAGCCTGGAGAGTATATAGTGCCATTCATAGCAGTTATATTTCCTCCACAAAGAGCTGTAAAAACAACAATGACCACCAGGGAAACAATTACATGCCAGTATGCCATAATATTGCTGCATTTTGGTATAATGTTAAAAAAACACACACCTTTCCTCAGTTGATAGCTCCTAGGAAGCAGATATCATCTGAATATATGCACTGTTTGAAGCTCCCCTCATCTAAATGTTAGATGCATTAAACTGTATTATTGTGATATTGTAGTATTGTATTTTCCCCAATATTATAGAGGGACATACAAATACTACTAATAAACCTTTCATATGCTAATTAATATAGAGGAGGTACACGTTTTTAAAAAAACAGCAAAGTTCTCTCACGTTAGGTTTGGCTTAGTAGAGAGATAAATACATTTGATCCACCAACCATGTTTAAGTATACAGTTTTAAGCAGCTCTAGCCCCCAAGGGTATGAATCTGCTACACTGTCCCAACAACTTGAAGATTTTTTGCGATTGGCTTTTGAGGGCGAAGCATGGACTTAATTTGTATGTCTAATTTCTCAGGCACAAAAGTCTGCTTAAATCACATCTCTGGGACACTAATGTGATTTCAGCTCCATAGGTTATCCGTAGATTATCTGTAGCCACTTCTGGTTCCTTCAGCAATTAATCAAAAGAGTAATGCATCAAAAATTCATATAAATGGATGCACATATCTACTGAAAACATACCTTCACACCTTGGTAGAGGATGATTCCAATTACGACTGATTCCGTGAAGACACGTAAGTGCTGAATTTCCAATTAAAGTGTATCCAGGAAAACACTCAAATGAAACAGTTTGTCCAACAGTGTAGTCTGTTCCAATGACAAAACCATTCCGAAAGGGGCGTGGGTCAGGACAACTTTGCAACTGATATGCTGAAATAAAATAATAAGTGCCAGGTTCTCTTCAGTGCGACAACAAGATCTATATTTCAACACAACCATCCCACACCACAATAATAATTAAACAATCTTATGATTTTAGGTGGGTTTTTTTTTAATGCAACATGACACTAGGAAAACTCCTACTAGACACAGAAGACAGACTTATTCCTCTAAACCATTGATTCCTAACCTTGAGTAACCCAAGTGTTCTTAGATTACAACTCCCAGAACCCTCCACTACTAGCTGTGCTAGCCAGGATTTCTGGGAGTTGCAGTCCTAGAACATCTGGCTCTCAACTCAGGGTTTCTCAAAAATTCCTTCTCATTCACAGATGTTTCTACAAAATGCCATTTAAAACAAACAAACACAACAACAATGTTAATTGTAGGAATGGAAGACACTCACTACTCTATGTTATTCATTTCCCCACCATGCAGGAAATAAAACAAAAACATATAACACTTGCAACATTAAGATATTCTCATGCTATATTCAGAGGAGCCAGTTTCACAAACTTCCCTAATTCTAGTGGCTTAAAAAACAGCATCCAAATGTCAAGGTCTTGTCTCCATAATCTTGAAGCCAGATCCATGTGCAACTTCCTTACAAATGTGACATTTATTGCACCCTGCTTTTTCATCAACTTACATCTCTTAAAAGTCTGCATAAAAATCGGTATGTATTTTATGCACATTTTCCCAGTAAATGTTTGTATATGCCATGTTGCACACATTTTGTACTTTTATGTGCACAGTCCTCTAAAATATACATTTTTCTACAAATATTTGAGATATTTATTACATAATTGAGATAAGTGCAAATAACAAAGGAGAGTTGCATTTTGGTCCAAGTTTTTGGGAATTGCATATTAGATATGATGAACACACTAGAGTCACATAAAATGGAAAGAATTTGACAGCCTACAGAGGGCTCTAATCGAACTGCAAAATCTCATGACTCTTGATCAAAAAACTGAGCAGAAATTACTACTTTGGAATAAATAAATACCAACAGACTATCTTCTGGTCATTATTATTTATTTAATGTTCCATCTTTTATTTTTCTTTACTTAAGGTTACTTGTATCATGTTTTTCTTCCCTTTTCTTCTGTGATATGGTCCAAAATCTTTTAAATATAGGATGCAATCCTTTTGGCAGTTGAAGATCATAATACTCCACCAATATGGTGTCCCACACAATTGCCAATTCACAGCTGTATGTGTTTGAAGTCACTCTAAGATATTGCCACTTGTGCATGATATAGTGAATACAATTTTGCACAAATGGTGGCAAAAGAGGACTCACAATTGAAATGTACTGGAAAGTGTGCAGTAAAAAAGAGAGTACTTTAGCCATTATGGATATCATAGAGCCATAACTATGTGTTTCATATGAACATACAATTTGTGCAAAATCATAGAACTGTAGAATAATGAAGTTGGAAGGGGCTTATAAGGTCATTGAGTCCATGTCTTCTGATAATGCAACACATAAACTATTTCTAAAATAAAGATGTGGACTCACCTTGATATACAATATGAAACCCTTGCTTGTTCTGAGAATAGTCGCTGTGAAAATACAAGCTAGTTTCATGTGTTGTACTGAAAAGAGAAGATGGAAGCTGAGGGCCACTTAGTCTTCCAATGACTGTACTGATATCTGTTGACCCACTTCTTACTTCCAAATAATCATGAATTGTCTCAGTTGAAAAATTTGCAAACTGCAAGTGGACACCTGAAAGACATGTAATACAGTTATCCATACAGTAATCACACATTTTAAAAAATGGGAGAGAATCATGCATTTAAAAAATATTCCTGCTAACAAACAAGATGCTGCATAAAATAACTGAAATCTCCATATGCCCCACAAAGCACAAAACTATATAGAGTGCATTGAAGTAATAGAGGAGAGCTGTAATGAAGCATATGTCACTCTATCCAGAGCTGCATTCTACAAGCTGGGGAAAGGCACTCCTGGCCAAAGGTAAGAACTGGACAAGGTCCAGAAAACCCTGAAACTATAAGCCAGCATTACTGAAATAATGGAACACTAGCTAAGAATGCTACACCTTGCTTTCATGATAAATGCAACTGAACCTGACTGAAGAGCTATGGCAGCATTTATTTTATTCAAAAGATGAACCTAATGCCGTTTGATGTCAACTCAGTAAGTGAAAACTGGTGGGGATAATTCGTAAGTTATTTCTGAGACCACACAGCAGAGATTCGTTCAAATTTGGAAAACAGTCCAAATTGTCAAGTGCAGATAAATTATGTGCTATATCAACAACTTTTCTACATAATGACTTTCATAATGTGCAGTTTCCTTTCTTTTATATGCACCTGAACAGAAATGCAACTTTCCACTGTCTTCAATGGGAAACATCTTTGCTTTCCAAATAGCAAGCACAAAGAGGAGCAGAGATGCACAATCTAGCTAAAGCTTTCTTCTCACTATCAGAGTTTCAGTCTGGATTAGGATCCTGGATCTGTTATTTATTTTTTAAAATGAACAACATTTGTGTCATCACTTGCTTAGACAATGGCATCTGACAGGTATGGCCCTTGTTCATTCTTCTCTACAGCTGTTTTGCTGAACCAGGTACTTTCCAGATATAAGTCAGTCTTTCTCCCACTTACAGTGTTTTCAAGGGCCATGTCTTCTCAGCCATTTCAAGATTTACCTTCACGCTCACTTACTCTTTTGTACCTTCACTGTCAGTTTTGAGAGTGACCAACCAAGTGCCTCTGGGAAGTCCACAACAGAACAGGGGTGCAACAGCACCCTCCGGCTTATGTTCACCAGCAACTGGTCGAGCTGAGATGTCCAGCGCTCCGTCTTGTCCGGTGATTTTGGACACCTTTCAGCCTGTTACGCCTGACACTGTTTCCAGGGCACTCGACCGCTGTCGTGCCACCACCTCCTCTTTGGACCCTTGCCCGGCCTGGCTAATCAAAGCGCTCGTAATCTCAAGATTAGACCACTGTAATGCGCTCTACGTGGGGCTTCCTTTGAGGTTGCTGCGGAAATTACAGGTGGTGCAGAATGCGGCGGCCAGATTACTCAGTGGAGTGAAAAAATTCCAACATATTTCGCCCACTCTGGCTGCATTGCATTGGCTGCCCATCAGGTTCCGCATCGACTTCAAAGTGTTAACACTTACGTATAAAGCCCTAAACGGTTTAGGGCCTCGATACCTGGCGGAACGCCTATTCCCACCAAGTTCTACCCGGATCACACGGGCGAGCCAGGAGGTGAGGCTGAGGAGCTTAACGCCGAGGGAGGCCCGAAAAGAGAAAACAAGAAATAGGGCCTTCTCGGCAGTGGCTCCTCGCTTGTGGAATAACTTACCTCCTGGTATTCGCGGAGCTCCCTCGCTGGGCACCTTTAAGAATCTATTAAAGACCTGGATGTTTCGGCAGGCCTTCTCACCAGATTATTTTTGATTTTCTTTTCCCCTTTATTGTTTCTTTATTCTAATTCTTCTGTAATCTGTTGTTTTATTTTATTGTATTTTATCTTTGTTGTTGGCCGCCTAGAGTAGTCCATCGGACTAGATAGGCGGGATATAAATTAAATAAATAAATAAATAAATAAATAGGTAATACTGGATTTTAGGAGGCAATTAAACATGTGGCTTTTCAGAGAGACTTTCCACACCTACCCTAGATGATCACCTTCCTCCCCCTGCCCCACTCTCCTCCATCTGCTCTGGCTTTTATGTTTGGTCTGTGCCACATGTTTTCAAGGGTCAATTGTAACTTGCTTTTAATGCTTTTATCTTTATTTTTTTTTGTTTTGTATTAAATTTGTTGTAACTGCACATAGTTATGCCTTGGCACTAATGGGAGTGGGCTATAAGTTCAATCAATCAATCGATCAATCGATCAATCGATCACTCAATCAATCAATCAATCAATCAATCAATCAATCACATAGTTATCATGACATGTAGCTACTTATACTTTCACTAAAGACAGAAGGACAAATAGCCCGTACCAGTATAAACACTACTTGTAGTATTCTCACTAGTCATGTAAAGCAGTGGTTCTTAACCTTTGTTACTCAGATGCTTTTAAACTGCAACTCCCAGAAACCCCAGTCAGGACAGCTGGTGGTGAAGGCTTCTGGGAGTTGCAGTCCAAAACTCCTGAGTAACCCAAGGTTAAGAACCAGTGATGTAAAGCATGTAAAGGGCAAAATGTGATTTACAGACTGTAGACTCCTGTCCATTTTTTTCTGCTGTCCCTGTCAAATTCACATCTGGGAATAGCATGCCTCCTGTTTTTGTTTTAAAACAGAACACGTAGGGATTGCACACTTTGTTTCAAAACAGAACTGTGCCCCTACAAGCTCCTGAAATTCCATTTTTTTCTATGCCTCATTTTAAAGTTTTGAATAAAACTTATTGGTGTGAGTAAAGAACATCAACTGCATTCATACCAATGAAAGCTGAATGTAGTGTTTGTGATGCACTAAAGGGCTGCTGGGCATTTGGCCAGAGAGTTTGACCAGCATTTATCTACCACATATGAGCTGAGGCAAGTCCCAAGATCTCAACAGTGCATAGCATAAGTCCTTTGAAGAAGTCTGACCTAAAAAGAACACTTTACAATTGCTCAGTACTTTGCAAGTACAGGCACATGGACTTTGTGATTCCTTAGAACTCACAACAGCTCAGTTAGGTAGGACTCTTGAATGATAGCTAGTCTGTGGCTCTCTCCACTCCAGACCCTGCTGTTCAAGGGACCAGTCCTCTGTAAGGATTTTTATAATTAATTTTTATTAGAAAAATAGAGTTTCATTAGAATTCAGTTTATATTGCATAAGCATTAGCATCAAACAACATATTCAAAGATCATTGCAGTTAAATAAGATAACTATTTCCCATTTAAAATAATAAACACTAAAAAGCTGAAACTAAGGTGGGCTATAGTGGGCTATGGTGGGCTAGCCCCCACCTGATCCTTTCTCCTTATAACCTCTCTCGTTCAAGGTACATGCTCATACCATCATCATGGAACAAAATCCAGAACAGAATAGAATCCATTTTGTTCAGTCTCAGACACATTCACATAACCCATCGTCCATTTTCTACCCTTCTAAGTCCTCCCCTCTTCATGGTCTTTCTGGCTGTTAACCAATTAACTTTTTAGATGTTGTACCACCTCTCTCCTTCCCTTATTCCCATGAGAGTCCAGGTGTTGTTTATATCTTCTGTAACAAGTCTGGAATGTTTAGTGTCCAGGGGCCTCTGAATTTGGCCTTCGAGATATCTGGATCCCGGCTGTAATGGTCCTCAGGAAAACACTCTCATGGCACTTAGAAAAATACATTCCAAAGTCTCTCAAATCATATTGACACAGAACCCGTCTGACTCCATTTTACATTTCTCTGACTACATATCCCATCATCATGACAGTGTTTATATATATTACAGCTCTTATAGGAACAAATGAATAACAAAAGTCACAGTGAGGTATTGTTTTACAGGAATAAAACATACCAAAACCAATGGGGAGCTTGATCGTCCATGTGCAGTCCAAACTGCTGGGATAATTTCCAGGAAATCCAGGGCTAAGGATAACTCCACTGAAGTCTGACATAGAACCACCACACTGTGCTACAAAAGGAGAGTGAAACACAAAGGAGTAACCTAAATCAATAGCAAGCCAAGGTGAATCAGTAAGTTGTCCCTTCTTATTTGTTAAGTGGTTTTTTAAAAAACAAAGGAGTAACCTAAATCAATAGCAAGCCAAGGTGAATCAGTAAGTTGTCCCTTCTTATTTGCTGAGTGGTTTATTTTTCGTTCCATAAGACGCACCTTTCCATAAGACGCACCAAATTTTTAGGAGAAGAAAACAGGAAAATATAATCTGTTTTCTTTGCTCTATAAGACGCACAGACTTTCCACCCCCCTGTTTTGTGGGGAAAAAGTGCGTCTTATGGTGCAAAAAATACGGTAAATATTGGATTTTGCTAGTGCAATTTTTCACAGCACTTTCCATTAATTTAACAAATCATTTTGAAAAGTTTGGGACAGAGAAGAAAAGACACGTACAGCTCTGCTACAATCTATAACTGTTTATGTTGGGGTTGTCTGATAGTTTTCAGTTCTGATATGAAACAAATAGTTTGTATAGGCAAAAGTATACCTAAACAAATTGGAATAGGGTAATTCCATCTTCTTACTGGTCCAGGCATACAGGTGATATGTGAATGCCCCTGAAATGACCAAGAAAAAAAATTAGGATAGTAAGCCAGCAACACAGTTCTATGTTGTATTTCATGATAAAAATGCTGTTTTCCAGCTTATATCCTTAGAGAAGGGGGAGGATATATAATAGATCTTATAGGGTTACCACATTCCAGTTCACCAAATCTGGAAACCCTAATCTGATGATCAATGCACATTTGAATACTGTAGTCTTATGTGCACCATTTACATATTTGACATTCCTTCTTTGCTTTTAAGGGGTCAGAGTATGCTGACATATCCATGTGCTGCTCTGTGGAGACCACATTCTTTTCTAGTCAACAATGATAACGATGACAGTGTTAGGGACACATTTGGGGCTCAGTGGTTGGGTAACTTTAAAATGGAAAGATAGAAGGGACGGTCTGTTGCCAACATTGGGAGATGTTGGGTGGTGGCATCTCAGATTTTGTTAGTCCATTTGTGGGGTAATGATATTGGGCTACTAAAAACCAAGGAGACTGTTTGAAGAGCAGTTCAGGACCTCCACAAGGCTGGCTGAGGTGACCATCCTAGAAAAAAGAGTTTTGAGAGGCAAAGTGATCTTCAATTATTATACTGGGCAAGGAGGGGAATAAATAGATAACTCAAAACATGGGTGATCAAGAATGGGCTATTCTTTACAGGCATTTGTTTTGATCACCCTAAGCTGTTTTGTGGGGACAGGATACATATATTTGATGCAGAGGTAGACATCTTGGAGGACCCCTCCTCAGCAGAAATGACCCTTATCATTACAGAGGATTTGCTGCACTTTATGAGTAACTTTTCAAGAGGCTCATAAGTCTATAGTAGAGATGGGGGTATCCATATTCATACATGAATACGAATTCCATTGTGGACAACAGCACAATAGGAGGGCTCTACTGAGCTCACGTCAGGGTGAGTGGACAATCTGACCCCGTGGGGCCGGACCCTCATTATTTCCACCTGTGGGGGGGATATTCGTATACAAATACCCCCATCTCTAGTCTATAGCATGAGAGAGGAAAAGAGCTTGGAGAAATAATTTTTTAAAAATATTAAAACAAATCCTGGGCACTTTATTTGATCTCATAGTTGCAGTCCTTGACCAGAGAAATTTCAGGGACAGATTCTAAAGGGAGGTGATTGAGCAGGAATACATCAGAAAGCTCGAAACACTCTGCCTAGGCCTTAACAGGGACAATTGTTTCCAGTGTCATTATATATATACTCTAATTATCTGAATCTTTATCACTCAGTCAGAACCGAATTGCCTCAAGTGCAATGAAACTAATCATTTCCTATTGTATTTTAAAGATACAATTTCAAACTGTTGGTAAGGAGAACTTAAAACAGCTTAGAACTGTTACCAGCAGTTTAAACTGCCCAGAGAGAGAACCACTCAACTGATCTGAAGTGTGTCCGGCTATGTAGAAGCTTATGAAAAATAAAATAAAAAACTAACTCATAGGGGCTATGTTACTGTTTCCTTTTTATTATAAGTCCCATAACTTCTCAGCAGACATTGGCAGTGGAAGATATGGTCCAAAAAAGGAATTTCTACCTGCTTTGAGAAGAGGCAGGAATGCATGTTCTATTAGTAGAAAATAAGTTGTAGTTCCATTTATCCAACTCTATTTGGGAGAAGCTGGGCAGAATATTAAGAGGAGGAAACAACAAACACCCACACGCATTTATTCATGTTCTGTTAAAAAAGAAATTAAAATCGGCAAAATGATTCCTCTCCCTTCCCCACCCCATACACACTTGAATATTTGTTTATTTGTTTATTATTTTGTTTATTTGTTTATTATTTTAAATATCTACCTGAAGAGAATATCCTTGGTCACATTGAAATGAAACCACATCTCCCACCATGTATCTGTCACCAATCTTAATACCACTGCTTGGGGTCTGGGGTTCCGGGCAAGAGTCCAAACCTATAGCTGTGAAAAGTTAAAAAACTTAACAATGACAAAATACGTTTCCTCCATTGTATTTGTGAATTCTACAATGCATGTGCAACATAAACACTGAACCCTAAAAGCTGTGATTTTCAACATTTCTATCCGAAGGACACTTTCCTCCATCAAGAGACCCAGAAATGTGCACAGGATTCCAGGAAGCTTTTAAGGATTGGGAGACTGGCAGAGTTCAGATTGATGGAATGGAAAGGAAAGCAAAGGAAGGAATCCAAGGTCCAGCTATCAGAGTTAGATGCACAATAGTACCCTTAGTAGGAGGAAACGAGGCCAAACAGAAAATGATGGCCAATGAACAGAACCAATTAACTACTGCACCATGAGCAGTATTTTGAGGTGAACTACAAATGTAAAAATCTATAACTGTCTATAAATTACTACAGGTCAACGATTCTAACAGAAATATTCTAGCAGGCCATCAGAACAGCTTGAAAATGTGGTGAAGTGCAACCAGTTAATATTCATATTTTACAGGTGGGAATAGCAATTAGGAGAGAAATTGACATGCCAGGAGATCTTCTTTCCACTTGCAGCTGTGGCAACATAAATATTTGGAAGCCGAAGTACTAGTCGTGATTTACAATGTAGTACTTGTTCAAAGATGGGATGGAAACGGGCAGAAGACTTTTAAGCCAGTGCACTAGCCCTTGTGCTAGCTGATTTCAGAGAGATGCTTCTGCTGACATGTCTGTGTTGGCTAAGAACAGCCAGCAGATAATGGGGGAAATGGGTGGGAAAGAAACATCACAGTGAATGAAGAGATGAGCTATGACAGATACAGTATACATGTCATCCAGCCCAGGGGCCGAGGTAATGTACTAGCAAAAAATTATACCAAGGTGAGAGCAGTCCAAGCTAATTTCTAACATCCCTCAGCCAGGATGAGTTCTGATTCAACACAGCAACATCTGGTATCAGGAATCAGGGCTAGTTAGGACTGCACCCTTCCTTGAAGTCTCATGGAGACTTACAAGTGAATCCCAGTCCTCCTGCCTGCCCATGTTTCAGGGCATACACAGACTTTTTTTGGAATGATGCTGAGTAGGTGAAACCTTCCAGTGGCACCATGGAAAATGGGAATAGAAGCCTAGAAAATACCCAGTCATTTTCTGCAATTACAACTTGCAAGATAAAATCAGGAATGAATATAAAAAAAATTACCAAAGAAACTTGTGCACCCTCATTGACTTTCTCACTGAGAAACAACTAGTAATTTTTCAAAGACCTTCTGATGTCAGACAATTTTCTAGATAGCTTTGCCAGTGGTGCTGGCAGACTTTTAATTCTGTCACTGAGATATTGTAGGAGGGGTGGCCAAAACATCTGTCTGAGCCATGGAGGTCACACTATGAAGGTGGATGCGTAAGGTAAAGGTTCCCCTTGACAAATAAATGTACAGTTGTGTCCAGCTCGAGGGCATGGTGCTCATCCCCATTTCCAAGCCATAGAGCCAGTGTTCAACAACACCTAAAGAGCAACAAATTACATCCCCTTGCAATGTTTGGATCAAATACTGACATCAGCATATAATGGCAGCAAATCCTAGATTTCTCTACATCCCTTCAACTGCCATTAGTTTCTAAACAGTCAGTTACCTGGATGTCTTTGCAGATGAGACAGCAAGACAGTAAAATTCAAGGCAGAAGAAACTGCAAGATCATATTCATACATGTCTTTATCACAACTACAACTACAGCACCCAAAATGGGGAGTAACTGGATTAGACAGTAGAGGAAAAAAATGGAATGTTCAAATATCAGACAGACATGCCAGTGTAAACATCTCTCCTTATAGCTATAGCCTCACTATAATTATTTGTAATAACAGGAGTCAGAGAAATGTTCTCGCCATTTCAGAATAACATGACACAGACCAGCCAACAGCTTCCTTCATCTATATTCCCATCTAAGTTGTAAGCTGCCCAGAGACCTTTGGGTAGTGTGGGCGGCATA